TGTACGCACGCACATCTTTTGGCTTCAACCAATCACTGCTGACTCAACGGACGTTACACATCAAAGAGCTTTGATCTACGACAACAGCTAAGCTAGTTTAGCTGTTGTCGTAGATCAAAGATCGGGCCGCCCGAATTTCAGGTCTAAAAATGTCAATCGTTGCCTTCGGGTTCGTGTCGGATTTCTCTCTCGCTGACTTTTTTTTTTTTTCGAGGCCGTGAATAGTTTTGGCCACGAGAGACCGTGGTTTGCAAAAAACAGAAGCGGCGTCATCACAACACGTACTGTACTAAACTCTCGCAATGACAATTCAAAAAACTCCTTCACATCTTTATGATCCAGCCGTCATTGTTCTTTTTGGGCTCGCTGCTTCTCTCTCAAGTGCCGTGCTCAATTCTTAAGGACGTACTGCTGCTGTGGTGAATAGCTCAATTTTCAACCCGTCAAAATGACGGACGGCCTTAAATTTTCCCCGTCCACTCTTAAAAAAAATCCCTCAATGATGGAAAATTGTCCGCTAATGTAACCTCTTCAGGAACAGAAATATAAAAGATGTAAATGTTTATCCAGTCTTGTTTAACTGAGATTTCGTTCCAAAAGACATGCTTTGTTATCAGAAATCAATTTCGAAATCTCAGAGATATGGCGAGGCCATGAGAATGCGAGGCGAGGGTATTACTGTTGTGGCGACGTCACTCGAGCTAGTCCGCTGCTTTCTACTGTGCGTGCGTCAGCGCGAACATGTACGCAAGCGCATCTTTTGATTTCAACCAATAAGCGCTGACGCAACGACGTCACACACCCGACGTCACACACAACAACAGCTAAGCTAAACTAGCCGAGACGACACTCGAAGTCGGACGGACACGTTTTTCTGCCAATCTGTGTGTTTCCCTTTTTGTCCAACTATATTTTTCACAACAACTGTCTTGTCCATGGTGTCTTTTATTCATTCCACTGGGGTTTAGCAAGTGTGTTTATAAAGAGACGAAAATCTCTTTACTGTTATTAGTGTTAGTGTCTCAACATGGCTACGCTCGTGAAAGCAAAACAACAAACTCAAACGCGTCTTCGTTCAATGTTGTCAACTAATATCCGGATTAATTTGAAGCAATTTTTCCTCAATTCTCCGGAGAGATTTTCATAAAAATTTGAAAAACCCGGAATTCCGGGAAAATCCGGAGGACTTTCATCTCTGTGAGAATAACATTACCGTATTTTCACGACCATTCGGCGCACCGTATTGTTGGGCGCAGTCTCAGTAACGGGTGGTATTTCTGTATTTGACACATACACAAAACGCACTGTATTATTGGTCGCAGCCAGGCATGGTAAAACATACGCCAGCTTAAACATACGGCATGCATGCACGCACTTTAAAAACACGTTAGCTTGAAGCATACGGTAGCATGCATGCACGCTAAAACATACCAGGTATGTTAGCTTAAAGCATACGGTAGCAGCTAAGACATACGGACACACGCTCAAAACATGTTTTTAAAAAGGCAACGGAAGCAAAACTGAGTTAGATTGTACTTTATTTAGCCATTTTACAACGTACTCACGCGACTGGTACCTGCTAGGGGCGTGCCTTTAGCGTCGTCTAACATGCCCACTCTTCACTCATTGGCGACTGATACCTGCTAGGGACGTGCCTTTAGCGTCCTCTTACACGCCCACCCTTCACTAATTGGAGGCCTTCCGCATGCCTGTCGTCACTCACGCCTGCCTTTTCTCTGTATAAACTGCGTGTCGGCCAGAAGTGCTCTCAATCAGGCTTTGGAACTCGGCGCATACACTAGACGCTCCGCATTATCAGGCATCCTGTCCATTTTGGAGGAAATTTAAGACTTTTAATGGCGCCTTATAGTCGGGAAAATACAGTAATTTGTTATTTTATTTTCATAAATATGTAAACAAAATTATTCTCTGTATTCTTTACGTCATATTATTTCCACTTAGTCGAGTGGATTTCAATGTTATTTTAAGTAACATTGAAAGCCACTCAATAAATAATTTATTTATTATGGTAGAGTTTTTAACCAATCATATTTCAGCTAGCTTGTGTTGCCAGGTAAATTAAACTGGCTCGGGCCTTCAGATTAAACAGAGCAGGCCTCTGTGCGCTGTAAGTGAACGGGCACAGTCAGGATTCAATAGCCAATCAGATCACGACTCGTGATCTGACTCGTCTGCGTACTACGGCCAGCTAGAAGGCCTTACGTCGAGACTGGCCGTGCGCGTTCGGTGACTGGAATAGCGCCTTTTCTGTTTCCTGAGAATT